CAAAAACAGAAACACGCAGCTAAAGTAGTGAGTATGTGCATTCGGGTAACGCAGTTGATTCGCGATCGCATTGAACAGCAGATATCGGCCTAAACAATGCCATTCATAATATGTACCATGAACCTTTCTCAACTAGTGAAGAAAAAATTATAATAAAAAGCAGTCCAATTAAAAAAAAGTTAAAGAAGCAAGTTCTCGCTTGCTTGTAGTTAGGCAAGATCGCGTCGCAAAATGCTACCCGCTAGTAAGGGCGAAGATTTATCTTTACAAAAAATCCTAGAGCAAATTTGTCGCGTCCGATCCGGGCGGCGTATGTCCGTCCAGACCTAACGGACACAAACAACTGTCTTTGCTGACAAACCGACCTTCTGTACACAACTGGACAGCAAGATTTTGGAAAATATCCATGAATGCTGTGTGCGCAATCGTGTGAATCGAGATACGTTGTCGTCGCTCATGCAAGCTTTCAATGGCTCTAAATAATTTACATTTTACTGGTCTCTCAATAATTAGTTCCATATCCAAGTAATTAAACTATCGACTCCCATCTGACAAAAAAAAATAAGAGAAATTGTCACAACTCACTTCATTCCAACGTACAACACCATCGCATTCATCACTGTGCTGTTGTATTTAGAGCCGGGTGTTTCTGATATCTGAAAACATTACGTAGATCACAACAAAAGCCACCATAATAATAATAAGCTTTGACGAACCTGCAGCATGCCGGGCAACGCTGAAAGGAAATCAACTGCTGATCGGGTCTTCAGGTACGCGTCGAGAGGCAACCGAATGGAATCCGGAATTATGGACGCCATATTCAAATTTGATTTTGGTTCGATCGCCATTTCCGGGATGCTATCCACTTGCTGAAAGATTTGATGCTATCAAGAATAATTGAAACATTCACAGAAAGAAATTACATATTACTGTATCAAATTGTCTGCATAAGGAACATTTCAATATCAGCTGAATGAGGCGAAGCCCTCTACGAGTAAGGCTGACGTCAGAGTCCGCGATCCGTCGCAGGTTTCGCTGATTTCGCGATTTGAAACCTGCGACGGATCGCAAAAATTGCAAGTGCCCCATTTGAACATTTGAAACACTGAATATGAAACAAGTGGAATCATGAGCAGTCGTCAGGGCATTTACTGATCGGGCACTTGTGATTTCCGTGACCCGTCGCGTGAATCGCGCAAATCGCGAAAATCAGCGAAACCTGCGACGGATCGCGGACTATGACACCAGCCTAAGGTAGAATGATTTGCAAGTGAAAAGGTCCTGCTCGTACATGCAAGGAAGGGCGCTAATTGTGAGAGATTTCACGTAGGACTGAAACGCCGAGGGCAGTTCTCTATACTGAACAATATTGGGGAATGTGTTGATGTCTGCGTCTCGCTCGGCCCATTACTACTACTTCTATGCCTGGTTCCTCCCCTGAAGCCTTCA